AAACAATTCCTTTAAATTTTAATCATTGATTACTATACATCTATTAAAAAACCATAATGGCCGACATCAGTGACAATACGACAACAATTGAAAAAGAATGATGGCCGACAACTGCAACAATTAGAAAAGAATGATGGCCGACATTACGTCATAATGGCCGACATCAGTAACAATGCGACAACAATTGAAAAAGAATGATGGCCGACAACTGCAACAATTAGAAAAGAATGATGGCCGACACTACGTCATATTGGAGCTTTAAAAATGGCCGGAGGCAGGGAAGAACTAATAATAATAAGAAAAATAATTGTTGAATTAACATAAATACAAAAAAAATAACTTTTGGGAATTTCCCCGGTGAATAATGTGCCCTGTCACATTAATTGCTCTTCTTGGTACATTCGTCGTATTACATTATCTTTTGAGTCAATTTATAGATAATTTGTAAACAATTGTAATTATAAACAAACAAAAATTAGCAAAGTACTGTTTAGTACGTAAATTGATAATGCTTTAGCTCTAATATTACAATTGTACTTTACCATCTTCCCTATATAATTCCCGTTTACGTTAATAAATATTTAGCTCTGTCTTTAACCCTGTACACCTATCTGTATTTTCCACAAGCAGATGTGCTCCAGACATTTCCTGTTTAGGAAAATATAAACAGCCTTATCTTAAATTTAAATTGGTCCTCGAGATAAGTACCATTTATACCTGGTGAAACTAACTCTATGTACAAATCATGAAACGAATAATGCACTTCGTTTATATACCTACTAGACCAGCTCTTTGTTACAGAAATTAAAGTATAAACAGTATTACCTTTTCAAAATACCAAATTAAAAATTTCTAAAAACGGTAACCCTTTAAATCAAGTAAAATTCTTAGTTGTGAGTAAAAAACGCAATTATCTACGTAAAAAATTAGAATATAGATCAAACGGAAAAGGAAATCGCTCAGTATAATACTAATATATACTTATATGAATGCTATTTTTTTAATTTTTAATTCATATTTTTTAACTTGTGAATAATACCGATTCGCAGATTTATTTTTATCTTCTTCATCACTGATCCGCAGTTGATGTAAAAATAATAAACGAGGTTGATGTAGTGACAAAATTTAGCTGCTTTGGCACAGTTCTTGAGTTTAAAAAGCTACATGGGTATATATATAGATGCTTTAAATCATTGCCTGTAAATAAAGAAAAGGTACTATTTTTTTGTTATCAATCCTGTACAGAAATCATGAAAGAAGGAAAATATTCATTAACGTTTACTATTCAGTATCACCTCTGTCAGAGGGGAAATTATTATATTTTTTTATTTTCAGGTTGTGTACAATCTCTTTGCTCTTTGCTTCCTTGCTGTCTTCCTAAATGTTTCGTTAGCACAACGAGCTGAAAAACTTACTGCCCAAAACCCATGTGTAACGAAAACTACCTGTCACGAATGTATCCAAACACCATCGTGTGCTTGGTGTTTCAAACACGTATGTTCTTTTTTGTCTAAAGATCATGAAAACAACCTACTAATATTACAACTAATGAAATGATTTTAATTTAGGATTTTGGCGACCGCGCCAGGTGCTTCCAGCCCTCTAGTCCCCATCCCACTGCAACGCAGTGTCCTGAAGAATGGACTTGGAACCCAAGTAACGTTATGTCTATACTTATGAAAAAAGAATTAACCAGACCACGTCAAACTGGAGGCGGTGCGGAAGGATCTTTTGAAGCATCCGGATCAGCCTGGCATTCCTCTTCAGGATCATGGCATTTCCGAAATGAAAGTTATTACGAAGAGCATGAAAGAGGACAAGAAATTATATCAGTCAGTCCTCAAAGAATAAGTTTGAAACTTAGAGCGAGTAAGAAAAAAAGGAACGAGTTCCTAAGGAATTGAATTAATATTTTGAATTGAAATTTAGGACAATCATTTAGTTTATGGATGGACTATACCCAGGCCGAAGATTATCCCGTAGATTTGTACTATCTTATGGACTTGAGTAATTCTATGGAAGATGATAAAGATAAGCTGTCCAGTTTGGGGAATCTTTTGGCCGAATCAATGAGAAATATAACATCGAATTTTAGACTCGGTTTTGGAAGTTTTGTGGATAAAGTTATGATGCCTTACGTTAGTACAGTTCCAAAGAAGTAAGTTGATCTTTTATCTTTCGATGTTGTGTTGGAATATTTAAAAAATATGTTATTTTTACTATGATATGTATGTATAGGGAAATGAGTTACTTAAGTATGTTTTTAAAAAGATAAAGGCGGAAATAGCAAAAACTGATTGTTCAATAAATATGTGTCGTTAGTTGTGTGACTGTCTGGTTTATAAAATTTGTTGGGAATAGGTCTTTTTATTATTTATCTTATGGATGCTTCCAATTATGTTCCTATTAAAAAGAATCACATAAAATTAAGTTTTACTATGTTTCTGATTCGATTAATAACAGGTTAAGGCAGCCCTGTCGAAACTGCGAACCGCCCTACGGATTTAGAAATCATATGACTCTCAGCACTAATATCTCTCAATTTTCAGTAAGTTTCTAACATCATAAAATACACAGTAACAACCTCTTTGAAAATGGTAGTTTGATAATGCTATAAGTACTAGAAGTCCAAATTATTTTAATTGTTTTGAATCGACAATAAAATTAAAAAGTTAAATTTATTTATCTCATTACTAATAACATTGTTATTCTACCACATATCCTTTTTGAAAGAGTAACGGCTAAATAAGAGTTGTAAATAGATTCAAAATAAGGTACATGGGTTAAATTATTTATAATGTACTGAAGTAACGTACAGCTTTTCAATTTACTCTTTCATTACTTCATATTATACCCCGTTTTGTACCTCTCTTCAAAATCTGCCTTTTACCTAAAGCTTTATTTAGGTGTGATAAATTTAGTAGTCACTTAATTTGTCACACTTATTTTGTCCATTCCCCTTGTTCATCCTAATGAAGAACACACCTTGTATAGTGTAATATCTTTTCTTCACGCGGTTATTTTCTCTTTTATGCATGTAGTTGAGGAGTTAGAGTTAAGCATCCAATGTCTTGAGTAAAATAAGTAGTATGACATATTCTGTTATTAATTGAATAGGTGTATACTAAAAAATACAGGTCGCATTCATAAAATTGTATATCTTTGTTGTTAGTTGGCATGCAGAAGGGAAGTTGATAGAACCAATTTATTTTGTTATTTTCTTTATTGAAGTTGATAAGCACACAAAAACCACTTATGAACATTATTTGAAATGGTAAATGTAAAAAAGTTAAATGTGTTTTTAATATATCATAAATGAAAAGTGTTTTTTGTGGGTACGTCACACGAATTTGGTTGCATGTATGTGTAGTAAAATTGTGGTTGTAGTTTGCGGGAACCTTGCAAAAATTGTGTTGCACCTTACGGATTCCAACATGCCATGAGGCTCTCAAGAAACACTGAGTTGTTTGCTGTAAGTCGATGTGGCTGGTGTTTTAACTTAGGTTGCGGTTAATGCATGGGATTAGTGCAATTTAACAACTTATTTATGCCCCTATCATTCTTTTACATATACATAAATGTACTTTTTGTTTGCCTTTAGTTTTATGTAAATAACAAAGGAAATGTAATATAAACTGCAATGCATGATTACTAATATTTTCAACAAACCGTGTTTGCTTAATATCTTGTACATTTTTATTTTATACTTAAAGGTCCATGGTCTGCGATGTTCTGTACCAAACAAATTTATGTATTTTATTAACGTACTAATCAGTTCTATAAATTCAAAATTTCTTATAATGTCGCTTTAGCATTAACAATTCCTAACAACAAAATTGACTACAAATTAAGTAAAATTTTCGTATATAGCAAATGGTTAAAGCTGCTGCCGTTTCCGGAAATTTAGATGGCCCTGAAGGTGGTTTTGATGCAATTATGCAAGCTATAGTTTGTCGTCACGAGATAGGTTGGAGAGAAAAGGCAAGAAGATTACTCGTTTTTTCAACCGACGCCGGATTCCACTATGCAGGAGACGGGAAGGTAAATATGCATTAAACTGACAACGGTAGTCATTATTCCCTTTTGTGATATGGGATCGTAAAAAACTGTGTTATTAAAATAAAATTAATTTGCAGCTAGGCGGTGTAGTCAAGCCAAATGATGGATTGTGCCATTTAAGTGGCGACGGTTTATATACTTACTCGTCGACCCAAGATTACCCCAGTATATCACAAATTAATCTCAAAGTTAAAGAAAACGCAATTAATATTATTTTTGCTGTCACCGAAGACGAACTAAACGTTTACAGGAAATTGCAGGCGCATATCGAAGGGGCTTCCAGTGGAAAGCTTTCGGCCGATTCTTCTAACGTTGTCGATTTAGTCAAAGAACAGTATCAGGTACTGATTTCAATATTCAATATGTGAAAGAACTTTAAAAATAAGAAAACATTTTTTTTAGCAAATATCTTCTTCTGTAGAATTAAAAGATAATGCCACGAGTAATATAAAAATTAACTACTATTCAAAGTGCCTTAATTCTACAGGACCAGACAAGAAAACAAATAAATGTGAAAATATAAAGGTAGCTAAAAATATAAAGTTCCTTATTCTTTTATTCGAATAATTTCTGATTTTGGTAACAGGTAGGCGACATTGTAAACTTTAGACTTGACATAGAATTAACCGAATGTCCTAAAGATCCCCGAGAATGGTACCAGACGTTACAAGTATATCCCATAGGCTTAAATGAGAGTCTTATAATAGATTTGGAAATGTTGTGCTCCTGTCCATGTGAACGTCCGGGTAATGTGGTAAGTTAATGTAAGAATATGTCCGTATATTAGTTAAATTATTATTGGAATTTTGTTAAAAAAGGGTTACAAGGAATTAGCTCCGGAGTGTAATTCCTTTGGAACATACAAGTGTGGTGTTTGTGAATGTGACGACAGTCATTTTGGTCGTTTTTGCGAATGTTCGACTACAGAATTAAACGTCTTTAATACTACTATTGGTTGTCGTCCAGATAACACAAGTACCGTTGATTGTTCAGGAAGAGGAAATTGCGTCTGTGGCCGTTGCGAATGTGAAATTCGACGAACCGAAGAAGAGGTAATAATAATCAATTCTTCGATTTCACCTTTTATAAAGTGTTTACTGTTTCCAGAGAATTTATGGGGACTTTTGCGAATGTGACAACTTCTCTTGCGACCGTCACGACAAAAAGATTTGCAACGGACACGGAAAATGCGAATGTGGTCAGTGCGTTTGTGACGTACCATGGATAGGACATGCGTGCGAATGTCGAAACGCCACCGATACCTGTTATGCCCCCGAGGTTACTGATGGTAAAATATGTTCTGGGCACGGCGATTGCGAGTGTGGAATTTGCAAATGTCACACAACTAAAGAAGGGCGGTATTCTGGACAATTTTGCGAAAAATGTCCTGTAAGTAAAACCTTCAATATTATTTTAATAAATGTTGTATTTAATTGACTTTTTCAAATACATTTTTATTTAAGACATGTTCAGATCGTTGCGAAGAGTTTAAGATATGTGTCCAGTGTCAGCAGTACAAGACAGGACCCCTAAATGAAGATGAATGTAGATTAAATTGTACAAAATTCACTCCTATAGGGGTCGATGTCGTAGAAGGTAAATAAATCTATTTGATCTCAGTTTAGATTTATATATAAATTAGTTTTTAGATGTAATTTACTTTATCCAGTGATTAATAATAATTCGTTTCTTTTTAATTACAGTTACAAAAGAACATGAGTATCTTTGTGCTTATTATGACGAAGATGATTGTCGCTTTTCTTATGTATACTATTTGGATGAGCATAATAAGATACAGATTAGAGCCCAGCAAGAACGAGAGTGTCCACCAAAGGTAGTAAAATGTGTCAAAGTAAAAATGAAAACAATCATTTTTAACAATAATTTTCTGTGCAGGTTTTCTTACTCGGTATAGTACTGGGTGTTATAGCTGCGATTGTCCTGATGGGACTCGCAATTTTACTTCTTTGGAAACTGTTGACTACAATTCATGACAGAAGAGAGTTCGCCAAGTTCGAAAAGGAAAGAATGATGGCCAGATGGGATACAGTAAGTAAATTATTAAACATTTCATTATCAGTGATACAACTTTTCTTTTTTCGTGGTAATTTCCTTTTCTACATTACATCTCTGATATTTCTACATTAAATAATGTATTATATTTATTGTACTATAAAGTAATTCTTACTTTTGTTTCTTAGGGAGAAAATCCGATTTATAAGCAGGCCACTTCGACATTTAAAAATCCTACTTACGCTGGTAAAGGCTAAAAACCCTAAAAACTAAACATAGCATGTTTTTTTAAACAGAATCTAAGTCATACAAAAAGTACGTTAATAGTTGCCTATTAATTTGTGACTTCTAGTAAATAACATAATTGTATGTTTATGTAGAACAACCAAAATTAGTGCAGCATTAATTATTGCTAAAATCAGTTCACTCATTAATCTTCATTTATTTAATATTAATGATGTATTTATTCATCTCGTGTTCTATTTTTCTATGTAAAACTGTGTTTAATTTATGCTAAATGCTAAATTATTTCATTAAATTACAAAATGCCTTGTATCGTTATTTGTATGATATTAGGAGCGTATTTTGCCATATTGAAGTACAAAAAAAACTGAAATTCATCAAAAAAAATTTTTTACGTATTTTGTTCTCGTAATTTTAGTTTCGACGTAATTTGACTTTTGTACTTACAATATAAGTGTGCCAATTATTAATTTTAAATAATTTTATCTAAGTGTAACTTCTTATTAATTCAGGAATGTGTTAGGTACATATATAAATACAAAGTGCTTAATTGTTATGAAGTATCTTAAAAGTATTTTGTTTAATTTACTTAGTATGGTAATGTAACTAATAACAAACGAGGCCTTACATTTGCCTTGAAAACTGCCTTTATTTTATAATGTATTATATTGTACGCAATTGCTAACTGATAACGAAATTAAAAGAAATTAGCGAAATATTAATACTTAACACAGGTCAATTAGCAAAGCACTTATCTATCTGTAAGGTAATTTTAATTTTTTAACTCAACTACAAAGATCTGATACCTGTTTTTCAATTATTTTATTAAAAATGTTAAATTATAATGATTTTTCTTCGTGAATGCCTCCAAAATCCCTGTTTAATTCAATTAAAAAAAATGTGATCAGTAATGATTGAAAATTTTTGCTCGCTCCTGTACACACAAGAAATTGCCATGTTCAATTTTTTTGCTCTTTACTGTGCACATTTTAGAAGGAAATAAAGTTATCTATATCAAACCATAGATAAGGCAAACATAACCTGCAACGATTTGTTTGAATTTTGTGTATATGTTTGAAAGTCGTGGAGGCCCTAGGTTAAGGAAAATAGTGTTAAATTAATACAGTTATGACTGATTTTCTACTTGGGTATCGAGAAGTAATACCTGATCTAACTGCACCAGAATTATGGAAAGAAATAAATTTAAATACAGGTAAATGATTGAATATTATGAGATTTTATATTTGAAGGTTATGTTTCAGGCGGTACTCAAAGCACCCTCCAAGACATAAAAGTCGCAGAAAAAGCCAATGGTTATTGCTATAGAGACGCGTCTAAGTATTATACAAGAAATAGATTCATTTACTGGTAATAGTTGCACAGTATAATGTTCAAATTGACTGTCACATTTTAAGTAAATTGTAGGCGCAAAAATCATGATGCATTAGAGTTAATTGAACACAGTTTAGATGTGAATTTAACTGGTAATAAGTTGAAATATCGCTTCGTTGATACGCCAATTTTAGATGGAATAAGTATACATGAAACCTACAATGCTGTTGTAATCTTGGTCCCAACTGTTTGTAGTGTACATCGTTTAATTTTTCCTCATCCAGACAGATTACATAAACAGGTAATTCATTATGTAACTGTATATACTGTAACTAATTAGTGTATTGTTAGGATGAATTACTTAATTCACATCCAGGGTTAACATTCCCTTCAATATTTTGCGATGCAACAGCATCCCATGCCAGAGATTTATCTGCATTTTATATCTTCAATAATCCAAGTACTGCTGGTAAGTGATGTAACTGGTTTATTGTAATAACATTTCATAAGGAAGAATTTTTTCCTAAGGTTCTCATCTACCTCATGTTGGTGCTTCCTTACTGACTTTAGAAGAAGATGCAATTTTTGTGTTGAGTTATCCAACAGAAGAATTGCTATTAGTGAAACAATTAGCTGATGGTACTAATGTGTCAATTGAACTGAAACACGAAAGTATTGTGCCTAGATTTCTATCTGGTATCGCTCAAAAGTTTAGGTAAAAGCTTGTGGTTCTTGAACATTATATTTTGATTGTAAACAAAAAAATATTTCAGATCTCGTCAAAATGACGCAGGTGTTATTGTCAGTGTCTTATTACATACCATTAATTTAGAAACATATGCCTTTACATTGTCTAGGGATGGCCACTTGCGTATATGGTCTTGCTCCAAGGCACAATGTGTCTCTGATACTGACATTTTAGTGGAAGCTGGTGATAATGGGAGACACATGTTACATGGTGGTATGTTTATTTCTTAGATCAGGCATGTATGCAGAGGTTCCACTTTATATATATTTAATTTTTCTGCATGAGCCTCCTGAAAAGTTGGGCCTCTATGTGCACCTGCCTTGTATCTACTCATTTTGTATTGAATATCCTTATAATTAATGTTGCTTTAGGTCAAAATCATATTTTAAGAAAGGCAATGGGTAATAACGAGGCAGATTTAATTTTGGCTGTTTACATGTATTTTACAACTGAATGCCAGTTTCATATTTTAAAACCAAGTGTTGTTATTGGGATGCAGTTCCAAGTTACAAGAATCAATACCTTATATCCTCCTGGTGTAAGTTTGTTGTAGTATTCTCATTATCTGAATTGCAAATTTATTTTGCTCCTGTATAGCTCTTAAACTGCCTTTTTAAAATATTTTTTTAGCGAGATTTAGTTGATTTTACTTTAACACCTTCACGTATTTGGTCATTGTGGAGGACAGAGGAAGGTGATACAAGTGCATACACTGCCATTTTGGATACAAAAAGGGGATCTGTATGGATACCTGTAACTTTAGAATCTTTCCCTGATATCAATCCGATTTTGGAAAAAAATGAAATAGAGCCAAAACAAGCGTATCTCGATTACATATTTTACCCTGGTCGATTTCCTCTTAATGTAATCAGTAAAGCACTGAGTGTAGGTTAAATACATGCAATGTATTTAAGGTATAAAAATTGCAGATTTTTCTTAATTTTAGATTTATAAACGATCGTCTATTTTGAGCGATGTTTCACTTTCTGCAAATGTATTAAAGCAACGAGTAGCTATGGCTGTTGAAAGTGAAATTCAGGAAAAATTAAAAGAAACAGAAGTCAGTGACGAAGATTATTTAGAATGTGCATCTTGGTACAAAGATTAAGTTGTTTATCTTTCTAGGAATATAAAAAATCAATATTTTTCAGGTGTTGGGCACGTTTTCACACTTGTTGCATACAATATCACGCTGCCGGACTTCGTCCTTTGGGTCTCCTTTTACTTCCCTCCGTTTCAGGAGCAGTTATTTTAAAGAAATCGTTCTTTTCGTTTTTAAGGCCTTTAGACGCTTTAGAACATTTGATGTTATGCAATGAATATTCGTCTATGGAACAATTCATACACCATCCCCTCTTATCTGATAGTAAGTTATATATAAATCGCTCTTCGAACATTTATGTGGATTATGTTGACAGACCAACCGTTTAGGTATTTGCTTGTGTCATTTTGTAAGTCAGGGTTCGTGCTAGGTTTTCCATAAAACGCTTTCTTTTAGTTTTGTAAACTATTAAAAAAAGTATTCTGTCTTCAGATTTTGATGTAATTGAAGATGTGATTCAGCTTATGGACGTTATTATGTACGTTGAATCACAACTAAGTGAAGAATTCAAAGAAATTTTTAGAAGTGAAATGGAGTACTTAAAATCCCCGGATATTATAATGTCCGAATTAATTACAGAAATACAGAGTGAATTAGACGAAGAGGTAAGAAAATTATCTTTTATTTTATTAAAACGTTTAAATATTCATACTTTTTCATAATTTTCAGTTTACATTTTCTATTGCTGAAAAGCTTAATAATTGTACAGATATTTATCAAGCAATGCACAAATTGCTTGAGATGTTAAGGGTTGATAATCAAGTCGACGTTGAAGCAAGTGGGGACTATAAAGAAGATGCCATCTACACTAACCACTTATTCAGCTCTCAACTGGGCGTGTCTACATTGGTTCAATGTTTGCAACAGCAAGCACACACGAGGTAAAAGTAAATTTTATAATTTTGTTAGGCGAAAGAAATAAAATGAAATGTATTCTTCTTAGGTTTGCAATATGTCGAAATCTCCTCATCGTTGAAAATTTATTGCTAAAACGTAGTGATAGGGATTGGAACGTTTTAGAAGCTATACGATCCATCTGTTCTCCAGAAATGGTTGTTTTAACACAAGCAAGTTTTGTCATGTACTACTTCAGTACTTTGCCTTCATATCCCAGTACTCCTTCGTAAGTTTTACTTTAATCAATCATTAAAAAGTTTTTATAAAATATTTTTCAGAGACGCTATGACCCAACGTCTTGCCCCTTTAAAATTGGCACCTGTTTTTAATTTAAGAAAAACATCGAATCAAAATATTTTCCTTTTGGAACATTTTGTATCATCGACCTTCGGTTTAGAGGCTTATAAGAATCTAATTAGGACATCGTCAGATGAAGATACTATTACACATTGGCATGTGTCATTGCTTTCAGTGTTACAACAAATTGGGACTGCAATGTATCCTTTTTCGTTAAACGATTCAAAGGAATTTAGAATGTTTCACATTTAATATTTTTCCTTAGTTTTGTTTAATAGTTGGCCAATAAGTGTTAATTCATCTTTTGCTGAATGGCTTTTAAGTAGTTGCCAACACTTATGGTTACAACAGTATGTTCGTTTGCTGAACAACTGGTGTGAATGGAACATTTGTACAAGTAAGTTGTTAAAAAGGTATCCTACATGTTAAAGTGTTATTATTAGGCAAAATTTTAACCCTTAATATATTCTTTCTAATAATACACCAATAAAATATTTTTCTTAAGAAAGTAATGTCATGTGATTTATATTTTTTGTAGGAAATTTTCTATTGGCGGTCATGTTTTTAACTAACGGTGAGTTTCACAAAGCCGAAGATCTGTTTTTGGAAGCGGTAAAAGGAGTTTGTACTGACAAATTTCTCGGGGAACATATACTGACTAATCCAGAATTTCGCACGCAGGAAAGAGCTCCGGTTGCTTATTATTTAAAGGTAATTATGAATTTTATTAATAATACATATAATATTTAAAATGCTTGTTAATTATAGGTAATACAGTTATTTGAGCTTCATGGCGCTCGCGATTGTGCCATAAACGTTGCAAAAACTGCCTTAACGATCGCAGACAAAGATGATCCTATAGTAGTAAGTTAATAATTTTTTTTTGTGAATTTTTGAATTAATGTTTGTTGTTTAGGCCACTCTTCATTCTATCAAATTCATTCATCATCTATCGCTTGGTCACTATGATCGGGCCTATGATTCATTAAATACAAATCCAGACACAGATCGTAAAAAAGACAATTTAAGAGATTTGGTTAAAGTTTTACTTGACAAGAAACGAATCGATATACTGATGTCTTTCCCTTACACTGACATGGAAGAATTATTTTGTAGCATACTGTTCACTCGAGCTAGGGCTACCGATTCAGTGTATAATGTTTATTATGATTGTTTATATGCATATCAAATAAAAAGAGGAAGTCCGTTCATGAGACTAGGTAAAGTTTTCGCTATTTTACTATTGATGGACCAATTATTTTTTTAACTACAATTAATCTTCTAAAGCGTTAAAATATGTATTTAAATATTTACTCAACTTTTAGCTGCATCAATTATGTACGAACAAGCATTTCGTCTAACAGTTTATAACACTATTGAGGCCCTAGAAATGCAAGTCAAATGTTATTTAGCTGCTATTAATGCTCTTTATCTTTGCGATAAAATGTTTGCGTGGGTGGTAAGACCTGCCGATCCTGACTTAGAGATGGAAGAAGTATTTTGGCCATCAAGAATCTGTTCTAACGAGGTAGATTCTGTAATTCGCATTTAATAAAAAGTACCTAATTTACCTATATTTACAGTCAATAGAGAGTTTCAAAATTAAAAGAGAAATTGAAGTTGTCGGCATCGAAGATATAAAAAAGGAACTTGAATTTACTAGTGCTCGTTTAAAATTAGTACGGTTTAATAGTTCTGCCATGACTAATCATCTAATACGTAAGTTTTTTGATAGTTATATCATTTTTAATTTTGTTAGTAATGATTTAATTTATTTTTCAGTACCTTCAGAACTGGTTATAATACTGTCAACTACAGGTCTTTTTAAATGGGCTATTACGTTATGCACAACTTTTGATTTGTCTTTGGCTCCTATTTTTGATAATCTAACGCGACAATGTGTCCTTCTGACTGATTTTGATGATCCAAACGCGTGGACATGGCTCATTGAAAATGATATACACGGTAAGTTATTAATAATTAAGAAATTAATTTTTATGCTATAAATTCGAATGTTTCAGACTTGAACGTTGTTGGAAAATCATCAGCTGACGTTGCTTGGGCGTAAAATTCTAGAGAACCTATATTGAAACATTTATTAGAGGAATATGAAGAAAAAAATATGTCTAGATGGCATAAAATCGTTTGCGCTAAAATTATAAATATGGGAGTTTATATACCCCAATGGTTATGGTCATCTTATCAAGTAAGTTACTTAAGTATTAAAGGCAATTGCCAGGTATGCATGGCGCATAAACATACATACTACAATATTTTGTTTTCTTTCAGAAAAGAAATCCAGCAGAATTATTGAGAATGTTACATATGGCTGGTAGATTGGATGAAGCGGTTCTTTTAACAAAGGATTACATTTTAGCAGCTTTGGGCCATGGAAAAGAGCTTTTTAATTTCAAATATTCTCTTTTACATTCAGCCCCAGCTTTCTGTCTACCCACAAACGCCATCGAAAGTCTTCTATATGAACTCGAATTACAAAATCAGGACTTAGAAAAACCATTTGAAAAGGTAATATTTAAACGTGGTTTGTAATTAATATAATATGGTTGCATTTAAAATATTTTTGTTTTAGGAGTATCAACTTTTGCGAGAGCTTTTCGAGAAATATGTTGAGACATCGGTACGAATAACAAACGAATTTACCATGACGACATCAAAATTTGATTTAACTTAGTGAAAAATAAAACTTTTATTTATAAACAAATAATTCGTGGACGGTACAAAAATAGAAAATTTCTTACTTTTATACAATAAAAAAAAAAACATTGAAAAGACACAACCACACAACTGTATCACAACCATTATTTGTCTTAATATTTATAAATATGAAGTTAGTTACTAATTTTTTTAATAAAATTGAAAGGTGAACTAACATTTGTTTTCTTTCCCTTGTTTTCTGTTTATCTTTGAAATCTAAAATAAAAGGAATTGTAAATACCTTATATTCAACCTGTTTAGTTAATAATACTTATTGTCACTGTCAGGTTGTTAAGGAAAGCATTTTCTTATTTTACACAGATAATAGACCTTAGTTAATAACTACAGACTAAAAAAATAAAATGAAACTTACCAGGTTAGCTGGTTTAATGTTCGATAGTATTCTGTTTTTTGCCTTTAACTGATTACCTTCAGCGATGTTTTCAGAACTTCTTGAAGGATTTTTCAGGCTCAATCTCGAATTGTGCCCTTCCAATGAATTATGCCTTGTCTTAGCGATATTTTGTCTCATTTTCGTTAAAACTGAAGAACTTGCCTCCTGGGCTGCACTGAAACTTCGTTTTAAAGTGGGCCCAGTGGGTTTTTTCAATTCTGATGCTGAATGCCTTCTTTCAATGGTTGTATTGGGGCTTTCCTTTTTACTAAACCCTTTGCAACCTGAGTCTGATAGACTTGGTGCAGACCCAGAATTATTTTTGCTATTATTAAATGCAGTTCTAAAATAGAAAATAACAATTAGTAGAACAGTCTTACAAAAAAAACAAGACAATAACCACGTACCTCCTTCCCACCAAAGTAGAAGGCTTAACTAGTCCACTTGTTCTTGCTAAAGGAGAAGAGGGAATATTATACTTCATTTTCCCAAACGACGACTCTGATAATTTTGATTCAGGAGTTGATTGTGCAATTGGTTTAATATTTTTTTCCTAAAAAAGCAGTTTTGTAGTACTCTTTTTGAAAATTATAAGACAGCTTCATTAACAACTTACTAATATGGGAGTGCTTGTTCTCTTATTTATACTTTGACCAGTTGATTTGCTATTTAAGCTATGTGTTGGCGATGTAAATTTATCTGGTGGACCTGTAATAAAAAAAAAAATTACAAATTTACATATACATTAAAAAAAAAACAAAACAATTGCAAAAAATATATACATAATGTATTATATCATTACAACACATACAAATCAGTATCATTCTCAATATATTTCCATAGAAAAAAATATAACAAAGTGCACTACCATTCATTTTAGCCATACTCCCTAGAGGAATCATAGCCTTTAAAGGCCCCTTTTTTATTCCACTCTCAACTTTCTTGGGCTTAAGTTTATTAAATATTGTACCATTATCTTCATTTTTAATAATAGCGGGTTTATCAATTTGTTTAGTATGTCCTAATATTTTCGGAATTATTATTTTTGGGCTTGTAAGTATTGACTTGAGGGTTTTTTTCTTCTCCGGTTCCTTAGTTTTTATTGACAAATCCAAAGGTTCGTGGGAATTATCTGTTTTCTTGCTGTTGCTGTATATACCGTCCTTTTCCAGGGATGTGTTATCAGAAAGATCACTGTCTTTAGAATCATCAGATTTTGAGNATGATTGATAAATTCTTAATGTCTTTGTTAGCTTCTGTATTAGTTGATCCTCCTTCACTGACACATCTTTGTAACTGTTGTTTAGGTATATCACCCTTACAAGATGTTAAATTGGGGATTTGAGACAATGAATGTAGTTCTTTATCATTATCTTTTGTGTCTATATTATTATTTAAAACGTTAATTGTCTGGCAATCTTTAGAAAATCTTTTTAATAAACTTCCTCCACTTCCAAAAGCTTCATTTAAAGTTTCATTTAAAGCAAAATTTGAAGATTGAACAGAATAAATCTTTGAAATCTCAGAGCCATTCAGACTTGCTGAATGAAATGAAATATCTCCAGAATTTGTAGAAGTACTAGGAAATTTTCCATATGAATTGGTATATATAAATGCAGTATTTAAAGGACTGTTTAGAAAACCAGCTGAATTGTGTGCTGTTATGTTTAATTTTTCAATGTCAATAATGCCAAGTGATTCACGACCGTAATCATTAAGTGTAACATCTAATTCATTTAATTTTAAAATTCCAAGTGACTCTCTACCAAGCATAAGAGATTCTCTACCAAAATCTTCAGGACTAAGTTTTAGAATATCTGCTCCATTATTGTCAAATACTTCATTACTTAATAATGAGCCAAATGATTCCATTTTATCCTACATAGAAAAAAATATATAATTTTTTGTAACGTTTTTTAAGTAAAAAGGTACTGATTACAATTAAAAAATATGGTAAAATATCAAATTAATCAAACAATACTTACCCAAAACTGATTTTTATGTTGCTATATTACAAAAATACGTTCTTATTCATTTATAAAACTTGCAAATAAAGTATTATTGGTTTAAAATTCACAAAAACATTCACTATAAACACAGTTAACAGTTAAAATCGACATTTAAACTTGACATTGACGGTATGTCAATATGACAGGGATCATATTATCGGCATTTATGAAATTTCTTTTATACCAACGTTTTATACGTGCGTTTCTCGTTTACTTGAGCATACTACCAAAAGAGTACTCTAGTAGGTCTTTAAGATATTTTATATATACAGAGCGATTATAAAAATATGTATATACACNTTGGGATGCAGTTCCAAGTTACAAGAATCAATACCTTATATCCTCCTGGTGTAAGTTTGTTGTAGTATTCTCATTATCTGAATTGCAAATTTATTTTGCTCCTGTATAGCTCTTAAACTGCCTTTTTAAAATATTTTTTTAGCGAGATTTAGTTGATTTTACTTTAACACCTTCACGTATTTGGTCATTGTGGAGGACAGAGGAAGGTGATACAAGTGCATACACTGCCATTTTGGATACAAAAAGGGGATCTGTATGGATACCTGTAACTTTAGAATCTTTCCCTGATATCAATCCGATTTTGGAAAAAAATGAAATAGAGCCAAAACAAGCGTATCTCGATTACATATTTTACCCTGGTCGATTTCCTCTTAATGTAATCAGTAAAGCACTGAGTGTAGGTTAAATACATGCAATGTATTTAAGGTATAAAAATTGCAGATTTTTCTTAATTTTAGATTTATAAACGATCGTCTATTTTGAGCGATGTTTCACTTTCTGCAAATGTATTAAAGCAACGAGTAGCTATGGCTGTTGAAAGTGAAATTCAGGAAAAATTAAAAGAAACAGAAGTCAGTGACGAAGATTATTTAGAATGTGCATCTTGGTACAAAGATTAAGTTGTTTATCTTTCTAGGAATATAAAAAATCAATATTTTTCAGGTGTTGGGCACGTTTTCACACTTGTTGCATACAATATCACGCTGCCGGACTTCGTCCTTTGGGTCTCCTTTTACTTCCCTCCGTTTCAGGAGCAGTTATTTTAAAGAAATCGTTCTTTTCGTTTTTAAGGCCTTTAGACGCTTTAGAACATTTGATGTTATGCAATGAATATTCGTCTATGGAACAATTCATACACCATCCCCTCTTATCTGATAGTAAGTTATATATAAATCGCTCTTCGAACATTTATGTGGATTATGTTGACAGACCAACCGTTTAGGTATTTGCTTGTGTCATTTTGTAAGTCAGGGTTCGTGCTAGGTTTTCCATAAAACGCTTTCTTTTAGTTTTGTAAACTATTAAAAAAAGTATTCTGTCTTCAGATTTTGATGTAATTGAAGATGTGATTCAGCTTATGGACGTTATTATGTACGTTGAATCACAACTAAGTGAAGAATTCAAAGAAATTTTTAGAAGTGAAATGGAGTACTTAAAATCCCCGGATATTATAATGTCCGAATTAATTACAGAAATACAGAGTGAATTAGACGAAGAGGTAAGAAAATTATCTTTTATTTTATTAAAACGTTTAAATATTCATACTTTTTCATAATTTTCAGTTTACATTTTCTATTGCTGAAAAGCTTAATAATTGTACAGATATTTATCAAGCAATGCACAAATTGCTTGAGATGTTAAGGGTTGATAATCAAGTCGACGTTGAAGCAAGTGGGGACTATAAAGAAGATGCCATCTACACTAACCACTTATTCAGCTCTCAACTGGGCGTGTCTACATTGGTTCAATGTTTGCAACAGCAAGCACACACGAGGTAAAAGTAAATTTTATAATTTTGTTAGGCGAAAGAAATAAAATGAAATGTATTCTTCTTAGGTTTGCAATATGTCGAAATCTCCTCATCGTTGAAAATTTATTGCTAAAACGTAGTGATAGGGATTGGAACGTTTTAGAAGCTATACGATCCATCTGTTCTCCAGAAATGGTTGTTTTAACACAAGCAAGTTTTGTCATGTACTACTTCAGTACTTTGCCTTCATATCCCAGTACTCCTTCGTAAGTTTTACTTTAATCAATCATTAAAAAGTTTTTATAAAATATTTTTCAGAGACGCTATGACCCAACGTCTTGCCCCTTTAAAATTGGCACCTGTTTTTAATTTAAGAAAAACATCGAATCAAAATATTTTCCTTTTGGAACATTTTGTATCATCGACCTTCGGTTTAGAGGCTTATAAGAATCTAATTAGGACATCGTCAGATGAAGATACTATTACACATTGGCATGTGTCATTGCTTTCAGTGTTACAACAAATTGGGACTGCAATGTATCCTTTTTCGTTAAACGATTCAAAGGAATTTAGAATGTTTCACATTTAATATTTTTCCTTAGTTTTGTTTAATAGTTGGCCAATAAGTGTTAATTCATCTTTTGCTGAATGGCTTTTAAGTAGTTGCCAACACTTATGGTTACAACAGTATGTTCGTTTGCTGAACAACTGGTGTGAATGGAACATTTGTACAAGTAAGTTGTTAAAAAGGTATCCTACATGTTAAAGTGTTATTATTAGGCAAAATTTTAACCCTTAATATATTCTTTCTAATAATACACCAATAAAATATTTTTCTTAAGAAAGTAATGTCATGTGATTTATATTTTTTGTAGGAAATTTTCTATTGGCGGTCATGTTTTTAACTAACGGTGAGTTTCACAAAGCCGAAGATCTGTTTTTGGAAGCGGTAAAAGGAGTTTGTACTGACAAATTTCTCGGGGAACATATACTGACTAATCCAGAATTTCGCACGCAGGAAAGAGCTCCGGTTGCTTATTATTTAAAGGTAATTATGAATTTTATTAATAATACATATAATATTTAAAATGCTTGTTAATTATAGGTAATACAGTTATTTGAGCTTCATGGCGCTCGCGATTGTGCCATAAACGTTGCAAAAACTGCCTTAACGATCGCAGACAAAGATGATCCTATAGTAGTAAGTTAATAATTTTTTTTTGTGAATTTTTGAATTAATGTTTGTTGTTTAGGCCACTCTTCATTCTATCAAATTCATTCATCATCTATC